GCCCAACCAACGTAATCTATGATAGTGCGTTCTGAAATAATTCGCGAATTCTCTGGAGGGAAGCGTCAGATCGGATACGAACAAAGGACATGAGAGAAAGAAAGGAAGTACGAATGGTTCCAAGCAGGACCCATAAAGCCCGATTGCTGACGGATCACAGCACCTCATGGGTAATGCGGGAGCGTGTCAACTGGAAACCTGATCAGAAGGACAAGCCGTCTTTGCNGCATAATATGAAGCAACCTCTTTTTTAAAATCTTATGGAAAGTTACCATTCTATCTCTCACGTTAGCGTTCTAAATACGACTTTACATAGATGGTCGAAATGAAAGTCAATACAGCAAAGGTAACTGTTCGCGACCTTCAACCAATGGCGAAACAACCCAGTGCGCTACAACACGCAAATAAAATTACAATTATATAAACCGGCCGGCACCTGTTGCGAGATTTGCATGCTACGGAGAAAACAGTGGGTTTATGAAGAACAATTAAAATGACACAGAGAGACCAAATTCTAAACGATGAGATAAGAAGACGTTGCTTCAACATTGATTGCTTTTCAGTCTTTATACAGCATCGCCGTGAGCAATCGTTGGATCACACACTAAGACGATCGTCAACAGCACTTGAGTTGATTTAAGGAACATCCTCATGCAAAGCAGCTATATTTTCATCTCTACACTGACCAAGCATTCATCCATCAGTAGAACCGTTTTATTTGCACATTCCAGTCGTCGCTCAAGGATGATGATACTGGCAAGTTCTTACGTGAACCAGTCACCACAGATTCCGATGTTCGGAATATGTTAAGTTTCGCATGATATTGGCTGCGATAGGTATAAGGTGACGAAATGATAGACAGCGATTAGCCTATAAGCTAAGAAAGATGTATGAAAGAATTTACTGACAGGCTCATTACTTCATGCTTGCCTTCATTAGACTTCCTGAATTTTTGATGAAGCAATCGTCGTGATCGCGTATCACCCATATAGGCTAATGATCATCTTCGTTTTCATGGATTTTGATGCAGTCCCATAACATTCAGCACGCTTAGATTAGTTTTAAAAGCAAGCAGTGGAATGCACGTCACAAAAACTGGAACGGCAATGGACAAGGTTATCAGGTTTAGCTATCCCTAGGTCCTAACACGCAAGAAATTTCGATTTGCTCCCACGGTAAGTAGGTCTATCAATTTGCCTTTTGTTTCATTCCATGAATATAATTCTACATTAGTCATTCTATCAAATCTTGATTATGGCTGTTTTTAGTTCTGTACAGTTCGTATATGGCTTGTCATTTCAAAAACTCGTGAATGCCAGTTGATTAGAACTTAATTATTTAATAAAGTATAAACTCGAATTATTATTGAACATGAGCCTATGTGGAGGTGGCACTTCAGTTAGAGACAATATTTGTAGATGGGTAAAATGAGTCGAGATTCGAAGTGTTATTTAGGAAGAGGAAATTAAAATTGCCCACGTGAACAGTTCGGTTTGCTATGAAAGAATCATACCTTTCGCCGCTCACGTCTTTCTCTGATATGTCCAAAATATGTCAGTATTTTGAAGCCGGGACACCAACGTTTGAATTCTATTTCCCAATTGAGAATCACGCTTGTCGGGACGACAATTAGATGCGGTCCCCAAATTCCGTGCTCGCATGCCAAATATGCCAGGAGAGCGATTGTTTGAATGGTTTTTCCCAAACCCATTTCATCGGCCAGAATGCCATTCAAACGCTTTTGGAATATAGCTGCCAACCAAGTAAGTCCGACGAGTTGGTATTCTCGTAGTGAGCCCCCGGTGAGCAGAAAAGGTACGGAAACCTTGGCATCGCCGGTAGTTAATGTATTGCCGGAGGGCTGAGCCTGTAGAGCTTCCGCGGTGAGGGTCTGTCAAATAGGAACGAAAAATCAGAGGACGGAAATAATTACAAAGCAATCCATCTCCGGTACAGTATAAATATCATTACTTTATTTAGATTATCGTGTTTGAATTAGTTCATTAGATTGTTCGCAGACACCAGGCGAGCTACGCGTTTCAAGTCCCAACCCGAAGGTACGCGATTCGAGTTCTTCCAGGGACACAGAAGGTACACACCACTGACGAGTTCCAAACAGGACGAAATAGCTGTCCAGTGCCCTTTGTCAGTCATCACAAATGTTTTCATTACTTATAAAAGTCATTATTTTATAACACGAACCCTTGTGCGATGATCGGTCGATGGTGTAAAACGCATTACCATGAAGACCTTCATCATCATCATCACCGTACAGCGAAACACAGTGAGGCGAACTTCTCTGATCGCTGCCAAACTCGCGATGTATACAAGGTTAGTGGTAAAATTTAAGGTGGACAGGGATTGGACCTATTTTAAGGGAAGGGGAAGAAGGTGAACCTCTATAGTTAACAAACACAGTACGCAATCGAACTCTGCATACGTACCGTTTCAAGCATTCTGACCTGATAAGAAACGACAACAAGAACGCCACTGCTGTCGGTTCGCTGCATATCGTTCAATGTCTCTCTTTCGGACCCCAACCTAGAAGGCGAGAGACACCTACCCTACCTAATGGCTGTGCATTTCTTCATGTTTCGTCTCCACGTCATCTATTGACCTCCACGTGGTTTTCTCCAGCCCGGATTGGCTACAGCTAATAAAGCGCGGTGCGGTAGACGACAGCTGGGCATTCGCAATGCGCACCCTAGCCAGCGAACTCTACTAATCTGAATGGGGTGTGACAGAAGGTTTGTACCTGATAGACTCCCAAACACACGACGGCTTACCTCCACGTTACTAAACCGTTCGCTCCATCCAACGTGGGCTAAACTACGTAAACACCGATAATCGAAAACTTCCAGGCGACGGATATCTTCTACCCGCAAATTCAGGGTCTCACAACCATAAAGCAGGACTGAACGAACACTAGCACAATATACACGACCTTTCAGCTTCAGTGAAACGTCGAGTCTACGCCAAAGGTGTTTCAGTCCTGCGTATGCTGCTCGAGCCTTGGAAATGCGGGCGGTTATCTCCTTTGCTGCACTATCGTCATTGGTCACGCAGCTACCTAAGTAGGAAAAGCAATCCGCCATAATTAAATCCTAGCCATTTCGTTTCAGAGCGGGAGTAGACAAAACCCAGTCTTGCAGCATCACTTTGCAATTTAAAGGTGCAAAGCACATACCGAATGTGGCAACTGCACTAATTAATCTATCAAGTGCGCTTTGCGCGTCCTCCATACATTCGAACAGACAGACAATGTCATCGGCGTACTCTAAATCGCACAGTTTTTCTCCAGTTGCTCATAAGACACCAACATTTTGAAGCTCACTTAGTGCGTTCTCCAGTATTTCGTCTTTTTTTATTACACACCTAGGTGTGATGAACAGCAGACGGGGTACATCCCACAGTCACGAGGACCTGCTGTTCAATGGTTGAAATCGGCAACCTAAGCCCCGGAACTTGGAGTGGCAAACCACATAAGGCCCCGATAGGTTAGGCGTGGTATTGAACCGGACGACAGCAGAGCTGCCTACCACCGACGACGAAACTGAACACGAACGGCGAAAGAGGGCATCCTTGACGGATGCCGCTGCTGGTGACAAACGGCCTACTTAGTTGTAAATCCTCACGTGTCCCGAGGTATGAGTACAGTGACCTCAGTAGGTTAACGTACTTCTGGGGCATTCCTCTTCGAAGAATGGAGCCCATTGGAGCTTCGCGGTCAACTGAGTCGAAGGCCATTTTCAGGTCATGGAACACTGTGATCGTTGGCCGACCGTGGGTGTGACGCAGCTCAAGTATCTGACGCAACGCAAAAATCTGATCAATACATTCACGGCCAGGCCGGAATTCGGCTTGCTGTTCACGGATGTTGGTCTCCCATACAGGCGCCGGACGTCGAAGTACAACCAAAGCTAGCACTTTGGTGACGATCGGGATCAAACTGATTCCGCGGTGGTTTTCGCAATCGTTGCGACATCTTTTCCTGAAAATAGGAACGATCAGTGATCCGCCCCAAGATGATGGAATGTGTTGTTGCGTCCAAATGTTGCGCAGTAGGGTAGTAACACAGCTTACGAGGTCATCACCTCACATCTTGAAAAGAGTGGGAGGGAGCTCATCGGATCCTGCTACCTCTCCTCGCTTCAGAGCTTGAATGCAGAACCGAACTTCTGCTTCTGCTGGAGGATCGCATGACACCACCCACAGAATTTCAGTTGCAGATGAAGCAGCCTGGTTAGCACTAGGCTAGCTGAACTGATCGCGATTGAGTCGTTGATCCCTATTGTGAATAGCTAGTCCCCTCTTATTGCAGACTGTTTCACTAACTGGAGTTCGCCGACCTCCCGTATTGCGTATCAGTCGGAACAGTCCTTGACGATTCCCTGATGCAACCACTACGTCCATTTCACTAGCTATTGTTGCCCACCAGTTCTCAGTCCTTCTTCAGGCTCTTCGTGAGCTGGCGTTGTAGATGCCACCTATTTTTATTTTGATCCTGGCAGGTCGGGATTTGTTGTTCCTCTCTATCAAAACTGCCGACTCCTGATATATCCAATGCCTCCGACGGGTTTGAGGCTCAGATCCACAAGTAATATTCACTGCGGAATGCATTGCTCGCCTAATCTGATCTCACTGCTCTTCTACATCACCATGTTGAGGTGCGCTTAGTTCGCGCACTAGCTCTGATTCAAAGCGTAAACGAACTGCTGGAACAGATAGTCGATGATGAGCTGTACGAGTTTGCTGAATTCGTCGCCGGCCAATCAGTCGGAGAGTGAACTGCATTAAAACTAATACGTGGTCGGACTCAACGCAGATGGTCCAATAAGACCTGCAGTTTTGTACTGAGCCACGCCAACGGTAGCTTACTGCTATGTGGTCGATCTGAGTTAGCGCGCCAGTTGAATTTGAGCGCCACGTTGCTGTCCGTTGAGAGCTGTGTAGGAAATTGGTGCTTGATAGGAACAAATGATGGTCTGCGCGGAACTGAAGAAGTCGATCGTCGTTATCTGTTCGTCGGCTGGGCAGAGCACAACTACCGCCTAAGCAAGCTTCTGATGCACCAAGTTTTCCAACCTGCGCGTTGAAGTCACCTGCAAGTACAACTATGCCGGAGCTTCGACTCATCCGAATGAGATCGATGAGTTCGTCTTAGAAGGCGTCCTTTTGAGTATCAGAACTGCATTTGGTCGGTGCATATGCTGATATGATGAACAAACGCCTTTTGGTATTGCTTCCCTCCTGGACGCTGATTGAACCCTGGAGATGCACTGCACATTAACGACTGTTAACGGAGATCCAGTCGATAAGAGAGGACTCCGCCCTGTTGCTGAGTACACTACCTACCCCGCGCTGACCCACTGAGCGGGCTTCGTCGTCGCCTGATGTGCGAAGAACATATTTCGAAGACAAATGGGGCGCGCTCAAGTAGCTTATGGTAGTAGGATCCTGGATACGAGTCTCCGACACGCAGCAAATATCGATCCCCTAGGATTCCATTGTACGCGCCAGACAAGCTTGTTGACCTACCTGCATCAAAATCCTCACACTGAAGGTCCCCAGATTCAGTGATTGACGAGGCTTTAGAATCTGCGATTCGTTTCGAGATACAT